CCACAGCAGGTAAAGGTATGTATGTATCCTTTTATAGGTTATTGTTAATAGCAAGTAGAGAAAGTGTAAACGATATGAATAAGCGTGTATTTAGGGATGCAGAATCGTACGACTGTTTTTTGCGGCAGGTTTCCGGGTCTTCTCACATTTCGCCACCACAAAACTCTGTGTTGTGGTATCATCGACTGTTGATGCATAGACATTGCAGGGTCTGGTTTGTATCTTCAATATTATCACAAGTGTACGTATGATTAGTCTGCTAAGCCAAAATAAAGAACGTTATTGCACTTACACGGGAACTCAAGTGGATCACAAACCAAAGTGTAGTAAAAAACTGGAGATTTCCTGATTTAGTAAATCTCAGGCGTATGCTTAACATGCAAGCTACAACTAGTATGCACCGTATCTCGGCTGTATATTGACTTTTCTAAGAATGGAGTGCTAGTGCCTTTGAAGTACAAATAAAATCACGATACGAGTGTCTATTTTTCAACTGTATTTGCCTGGCCATGGCCGTATCCGTGACTTTGTAGTCAATCACTATCCGATGGCTGATTCGGCATAGCCGACACTTGGAAGTGACGCTAGTAACCATAAACCAAAACCACATGATGTGTGTGTGCATGAAACTCATGCGGATCAATCCACCTCCCTCATTTACGCATGCACACAGGTGTCCCCGAGAATACACCTACACCAAATCGGCTAGCAGCTGCCCTACCGTCGGTATGTTTTCATTGTGTGAATAAACAGTCGAGTTGTATAGCACAAACATCAAATCCTCGTCGGTGTGGCTATAGCATCACCTATATGTAGAGGTGGTTCATGTCTATCAAACAGAATCACAAGCAGCTTACTTTAGGTCATTTCTGTTAACATTTTGATATTGAAATACCGCATGGTCCTGACTCTTAAATTTATAGTAGGTGTAGCTTTTCGTGATATTCGAGTGCCTGATTGCTGCGTGCGACTGTGTGTGTGCAAGCAATCGCTCGGTAGCCTGTACTATGAGCTGGACATATGTTCTCTGCTGCTCAGTAGTTCTGGGCACGTGTCAACGAACCATGAGATCACATATCCATATATGAATATACCACAAACACGGATAGGCTTAAACAACCCATCCACCACCCGACATATACTCATATACTCGTGGGCTTAAGCAGGCTTTACTGGACTTTGATGACGAGGAAGAGAACGAATCCACAGCACTTAAAACGGCTGCTATCAAGCCTACAGGCCAAGACATGATTTCTCACAGGAAGAGCTCATTTGACGAGCAATTCCGTAAGGCCAGCGCAGGTAGGTTGCGTCTCGATAGCGATTACTAAGTTTGGTTTGGTATCGATGAGTTTCATACATACGATTGAACGCCTTTCAGTACAAGGGAGCACTATCGACAGGCACTCAACGCCGAAAAACAAGTACAATCAGTATGTATGTATGTATGAGGAGTACGTACAATTATTATGTAAGCATGAGACTAGCGCACTAAAACGTCTGATTCGATGTTCGAGTTCTCTCTAGTCTTTCCGCATTACCTGTGTATCTGCTTTTATGGTGTATGCAAGTATTCCAGATATGGAGCACCTATGCCTGACAAGATTTCGCACCTAGAAGTTTCATTTTGCAATCCCATATGAACTGCTTCGTTCCTGCTTCATTCGATTCTATCTTGCAGATTTACTACAATCCCAGCTCGGCGACCTATCATCAAACACTTCATCGTCCTTGAAACATGAAGTTTCAGGGACTTTTGCTCCGCGTATCAAGTTTACCTACTAATGCACCAACCTTCAAACCAATTACAGCACAAAGTGCTGGGCAAGGGGCACGACGACATGCTGCCACGGATAGGCCGAAGAATGTGCACGAAAATACGCTAAGCGTACCTCTACAGGCCATCCCCAAACTGCCACCCGATCACAGGAATTCCACGAACGGTGTCCAAGGGGGTGGAGACGCAGATATCAGTGCACGCACACGCACACGCACACGTACGGCTACTAGCCCCACACGGGCAACACGCGCGCAGCAATCTCCAGGGACTGACAGGGGGCAGGACATAGGGCCGGATGGGAGTGACAGGGCTACAAAGCCTGCGGAGGGTGTGGCAGATACACCTGCGGAGGGCAGAGAAGTCACGGACACACAGCCAGGTACAGCGGAGCCACAGGCCGACGATGCAGACACACTACAACCCGATGACAACAAACAGGCTATGGATAGCAAGTCGCCGACGCCCAATCTGCCACCGAGTTCCGGGGAGGTTGCAGGGTCACAGGACCAGCCGGCAGCACACATGGCAAACGTGTCTCTGGTGCTCGAACGGAGCCAGCAACAGGGCCCAGCGCAAGAGAAAGGGGACCAACGGCAACCGCAGCAAACCTCAGAGGAGACGTATAAAAGCTCTGCACCACAGAATGACCAACAAGACGATCACGCGGTGTATGGCGAGACCCACACCCAGACCCAAACCCAAACACAAACACAAACTGGCAGCGACAACCAGTTAAGCGGTCCAGCGAGAGGGGACAGGGCTGATCTTGGCTCGGAAGCTCAGGCTATGCCACTACAAGAACAGCATGCGTCGAATGGAAACGCTAAAGACAAATCCGATGCACAGGTACAAATTGAAGCCGAACTCCTACAGTCGATTCCCCAGCCCCCTCAATGCGAGTACATGGGACCACAGACCAGATATTCGTCAACGGGGTATCAGGAGCAGCCACCGGGAGCACAATCAGCACAGGGACAAGCACCACAAGGCTACCAGCAATCATCCCACTATACACAGGGGAGTCAATACCAACACATGTACACACAGCACGGCAACGGGCAGCAAGCGTATGCTCAGGGCGCACCTATGCAGGGGTACAACAACGGCAGTACCAATACACAGGCACCACCATATGCAGTGCAAGGGAACTACTTACAGAGCATGCATGCTGCAGCAGATCCCTCGCAACAGTCACACCTGATGTACGACAGCCGTCAGTACTCACAACAGCCGTACCCACCACAGCCCATGTCACAGTCACATCTCAGCAATAGCAACACACTATCGCGCCAGAACTCCTTCACACGTCAGCAACAGGGGCAGCACCCGCAACATCTCATGCAGCAGCAACCGCCAATGTACACGAACACTCACCCAGACACACACAGGCAGCAGTCTAATCGATCGCAGCACTCACGCCAGGATTCACAGTCTAGGACCAACCCCACGTCACGCACACAATCACGCACACACTCTCGCACACACTCGCCCTCGATGTCTGCCATGTCGCGTGGGAACTCACAGACAAACATGCTCTCTCAGGCCACCCACCAGCATCCATACAATTACTCCAAGGCAAGTAACAGCGGCAGTGGAATATTACCGGCCCCTCCCATGGCTTTACCCGAACCTCCTGCGCAATACTCGCACGTGCTGAATGAGTCTATGCATGCCAGAGAGACGGGCACGGATGCGAACTCAAATGCCAATGCGATGACTGGGATGTACACTGCGTCCAGCAATGGGGTATACAGAAGTGGCAGTGGCCGGAGTGTCGTCATGGCTGGTACCATTATTGACAGATTGAATTCCGGTATCCAGGATGCACCCGCTTCCTCTGGCAGGAAACGAAAGGCGTCTACGGCGTCGTTATCGTCTAACCAAGATTTAGGTATGTTGCATTGCTTGCCGCGGTGGCGTGCTACAGCCCATGACTGTATTCTCACATGCGTAGGGGGTTATATACCGACATCTGCGAAATAATATGATTTTTTTTTAAAAGCAGAATCTATTTCGGGGTGGACGATTGTATTCCCACAGAACGTGCTGCATAATCTCATATTTATTTTTAATACCGCCTTTCTTTTCTATCCGAAATAGTTGGAACTGACAAGAAATCGCGGAATCGTGAGGCAGCCAGAAGGTGTCGACAGAAGAAAAACAACAAAGTATGTGGGATGTTGTGTACTTGGTATGTCGACGTATTCCATGCCCACAATACAATCCACATACACAAGGTCCTCGATCCAATTTTTGACTCTATTCGCGTAGTTAGGATGAGTAAACTCGTGCACGTTATGTAATCTGTGGGCTCGGCCTGACGCCCTCCGATATTTGCACCATACCTACCTACATGCCCTACCTACATGCCTACCTACATGCCCTACCTACATGCCCTACCTACATGTCCGATCGTGTTCAGCATGGTGTCTCAGCATGCCACTGCTGCTGGCGGTTATCGAGGGCAAAGTTCGGTACGAAATTGCAAGGGGCGTGCCACCGAATATGTGTGTGCAGCAATAGACGAACGCCCCACACAAACCGGATGCGTCTAATTCATACCGGGACATGCACGAACCAGATATACATGTGCGCGCACTCTCTTAACACTTCTCAATACCATGCGCCGCAATCACAGCTTGTCACACTACCGGCGGCCATCAGTGTAATCACCGACGAGATCGCAGACCTACGGAGACGACAGGCTGTGCTACAGTATGTTTGAGTGTGCTAGCCCCTTGTGGTTGCATCTGATCTGTTACTGTTTTGTACCACACGTTTGCTTCCAATGTCGCCGGTGGTATATGGCAATTTATGTGGTTAGTCTCGTTGTTATGGTGTTTATGTATATGCGCATCAACTTGAAAGAACAACATAACACCCCGCGCATGCGAATTTATGGCTCGTGACTCCAATTCAACCAATAACAGGGCCGAAGGGTATACTTCATGCAGATGAAATGTTTTATGTGGCACTTTAGTATTGCGCTGTGCACTTGCCCATAACTGCATCCTGGGTTATATACTATTATGCCTGTACCTGGCAACATTATTAATGCATGCAACTCAAATGTGTCCATTTTGAGCCTGACGATATCTATACGCACTCGCTTAGAGGACTTTTCTTGTATGAAGTAATGGGAGGAATGCGCGGCGTTGGTAGCACATTGCCCAACACAAACCCACGCCTGTACAGGCTGTGTCCATTTTATTCAATTCATTACGGTCCTGTTCTGTTATAAACACGTCGTTGAGCCATGGACTGTTCAGCTTTTTCGTGCGCTCGCTCCAAATCCAAATCCAAATCCGTCGAATAGCTCGATTTATACAACAACTATGTCCGAATTTTGGCTCAAAATTAACACGCGGGCTATTTCGTTGTACAGAGCGGAGAAGCAAAAGCTCGAGGCCAAACTATTCCAGCACACCTGCGTACTCCCGAAGACCTGAGAGAAGGATCTGATTGGGCCGCACATCCGCTAATCATTTCCCGATGGATGCTGCCGAGGGGTTGTTGTCAAAGTATATGCATGTACATGGACATGCACACACGTGTTTGCCCTTGTTGAGATGCAGGCACACATGGCGTGTCAGTGATGTATGGGATGTAGATGGGCGACTGCTAGTTGACTGTTCATGCTGCCGATACCGGAAGTCAATTACCGGGAGCGAGTCCGTTCAGGCCCAGATAGAGCCTAAGCCAATATTACACACACTCGTATAGTTCATGTGTCTGTATCATTTTGTCATACACGTGGGTAGGGAGTGCATATACACCTATATCTTGCCTGTACACACAGGAATTGCTTCTCTTCACGTTTGAGTCGCCTCGATATATACGTACGCGGGGGTTGCATCTGTGGCTAGTGCACGGCCACTCTCTCTGTTCATGTAACAACCCAAAGAAACGGTAACGGCGTGTATCACAGATCCCTCAAGAACTCATGACAACGGCGGTGGCCTGAATTTGAGAGATAGATAGTGGTTCTGCAGAAGGTTTTAATCTCCTCCTCAAAACCTAGTTATTCTGCAGAAGGGTTTAATCTCCTGCTTTTAACCTGTCGGTGTGGATGAAAAACCTTGTTCGCGGCTATGCCTATGGGTAGTGGACACGTTTCCGCACCAAAAAGACACCCACCCGCCAATTCGGTCGTCTGTACTTATCAACAAGCCACACTCTGCACCCGATAAAGTGTTACCGAGCACACACACAAACACACACACACATCCATCCGATCGCTTCCAAGGCATTGAAGAGCCAGATAAGCAAAAGTAAAAGCACTCACGCTCGCACCGACAACTGCTCATGTCACTGTGGATTCGTGGGGCGGGGGGGATAGTTGGGTGTTGGGTCGATGTCTCGGCCCACCGCGTATGTATTGGTGTAGTGGTAGGGGGTAGCGTATGCATTTAACCTATGCAATGGATGGGATTGGTAATGATTACAACAAAAATAATAATATATCTCTAGCTCATCATAGGAGAAAATCCCCTAAACCCTAAAAGTGTATCACACTCAATCTTTGGCAATGGACGCTACTTCAGACACAAACCGCTATGCATGTTGTTTGTGTACGTACACATGAGATAAAAGCAGCGACAGCCTAAAGCTTTCTTATACATTGCGCCATTAAGACATAGTACTGTCAGCTTATATGAGCGCATGTTTTGCCTTAGCAACCGCGCGAAAGCCGTGACTTCGAGAGTTCAAAGAAGTTGCCACTACACATACGTATATATATATACATACATATATAATATATATA